GTGTACTTTATTGTATTAAACTGCCGAAGTCAAATAAAACCGGACATAAATAAATCGTTTTATGCTTGGTACAAGTGTGGTCATTTTCGAACTAGTTCGGCTTCAATTAGGAAATTCTAGTTGTAAACTAGTATTTATCCTGACTAGTTTGGGGTTTCACTGCAGGGTATGTATACCAAGCATGCCCAGCGATGACAATTCCCTGCTTGGAAACCGCGGACCAGTGAATCAGATTGCTAGGTCTGTATTAGATCTTTATCGCCAAAAACGAACCAGTCGATTGTAACTAGATCCCCACCAGTTAAAAACCAGCGAAATTTTGTACTTTTAAAAAACTATTTTATTTCACTTTTTTCATTATAAATATATAATGACGAATTTAGAACTGGTTCGGAGCTATAGAAAAAGGGATGCAGAGCGAACTAGATCTTAGAACTCGAGCTTAGAACTAGTTCGGAAAAGGGACGCAGCAGGGGCTTGGTTACTTTACATAGATATGTGTTTGGCGGCTTTTTGGTTCAAGTCCGTTGGCTGCTAAAGAGATAAAACGTGGTTTTGTCGAGCTCTGTTAATCTAACGTTTTTCTTAGTGAAATTAACCTTTTTGATCTGCATTTGTTAATGCTTGATATAGTGACTCATTTTATCTAAAAAGTTTATTGTTGGTATCAACAAACTCATCCAAAATGCCTTGTTTTTGTGGACAAAAAGTCGAGGGCAATTGCGCAAAAGTGCAGTGTGCTAAGAGCAAAGAATTTTTTATTTGGATTGCGCCGGCGTTTTGCAGAATGACTTGGAGTTTTTGCTCAGCTCAAACAACAAATACTTTTGTAAAGAGTGTACGGACTTTCATCGGAAATCTATTCGCACTCCTCCGCCTTCTGTGAAGCTAATGAACAGTGAAATGGCCAATAATTTGTGTTTTACAAACTCAGCCGGTGTGCAGATAAGCAAATGTGACAATAACTTTTCTCAACAACAACCACATAAGTCAGCACCAACTATAGAGAATGTAAAAGTCTGATCTGCAAACTACGTTATCTAAAACTCTTT